CCCCCCCTTGAGAAAAATCCCCAAATTGGAGCCGTAATTTTGTTCCAGCAAATGCAGCTATGTTGCCCATATGATGTGCTAGACGACTAAAGCAAAAATAAAGAAGAAAATCAGAATAAAAAATTATCCCTCTCTCCCTACAATTTGCTCAATTGTATTGCAAGATATGTTTTAAGCTATCTAAATATTAGCTCTGAAGGGACAAAGTTTGAAGTATTCCGTGAACATGTTGGTTACTTGCATTTTGTATTATTAGCCGGGCCCGGCTGTTTGATTAACTGTTGCAAGTTATGCTTCTTCTTATCATGGGTGTCATATTTTTCTTTGTCCGGCTTCGCCAGAGATAGCTGTAGCTCTCCTTGTGGAAAGCTATAAGTCTGTCTTAGAGAGACGTTCTTATGTTTCTTGCATCAATTTCATCCAGCTTTTTGTCCTTCCAGTTTGTTCGTTCGTGTCAAACTCTACAAATTCCAATTCCCCATTGTTATCACTGTTAATTTGCATATAATTTGCATATATTCGTGATCCGTAACACTAAGTAATAACCCGATAATGCGTTTGTCGTTATTTTTTTTTAAAACAATGTGTAATAAAACAATTATTAGATTCGGTTTTGTGATATCCGAAATTATCAAGGTCTTGGTTAGTGTCATCAGCCTCAGCATAGAATACAGTTCTGTTACATAATCAAGATTACCACTGTGCATTGACAATGCGTGTTCTTTTGTCAATGATCAAATCCAGGTGGATGCAAAAAATTCAGGCAGAGGGGGCTGAAATAATTTTACCAAGAACACAACTTATCCCAGTTCATATGAAAAGCATAAATATTACTTGAAAGCCAGTTGAATACAATCTTTCCAAATAAACAGCATGCAACGCATGCATAAGGGTGACACTTTAAAATGTCCTATATTTTAGCCACCCGGAAAATTGCAAAACAAACCGATTTTAAATGGAAAGAAGTAAATGATTTAGCTTAGAGTCAAACCAGCCCTATGCATTTTTTATGAAGCTTGCTTTCAAGGAGAGGAGTGATGGGAGTGAGCAAAATCTATTATCTTGTGCTTTTTAGTTGTGACTCGTGCAAGCCAAAACTGCATAAAACAGAAATGGCACAAAACAGCTTCCTTATTAGGGGTTGAAGCAAAGTTTCCAAGTAATTTATTTTTAAGACACAGGAAACATTATTTTGCAGAACATACTCAGTTGAGGCTCTCCAATAACTACATAGGTACCATGCACTTCAATTGTACAATCTCATAGCAGTAATTGGCCTTCTTAGGAATTCATAGCTCGATATGAAATATTGTACATTTTCCAAATGGAAATAGTCCAAAAACAAAGTAGAGCCTAGAAATTAAATCTAAGAGAGTCTACAATGATTTTCTTTATTTTTTTCTTCAATCAGCACATACACTATTTAGTATAAGCTTTTGCTGACAAGGATAGTGGAAATGTGGAATAATATTCCCACAACTGTGGTTACCTTTGTACTGACTTACGAAACCTGTAACACGTGTGCCTCTTGTAACATTTGCGTGTCAAATAGAACCAATAAATTATAACCATGTTAGCGTTATACAAACAGAATAAACGTGGGAATAAATAAATTAAAAAAAATATGTATATTTAACATTATTATCAGTTGAGGATTAAGCTGAATATATATATATAACTAGGTAATATAATAGCCACATTATTCGTTGTAAACTACAACAAAATTCTAACCTTGGACTTAGTGAAATCTGATCACACAATATTATTACACAATATTATTACACAATATTTTTTAAAACTTTAACCCCAACACTTAGACTAAAGTATATGGAGACTCGTTTTCGTTTACGTTCTGAAGATACACTCTATACGTACACTGATGTACTACTGCTTACAAAATTTCAACAGTTACGATTCCACGGTTATTGAAAGGGCCACGGAAATGACAGTACCATCGAATACTCTTTGATGACAGCAACGTACAAAAATGTCAAGGTTTCACTTCGAAAACCTAGTGTGTAAGATTAAAACTGTATTCGGCAATTGAAGATAAAAGCCTAGCGCTACACGACAGTACGGTAGCGCGTGGACAAAATATTCAAGTAAGCTTTATATCTCTCTCGCATCATCTGCAGTGTCACTGAGATAACACAAGAAACAGTCGAGATATCAGATGGTAACCGGTCGTTTTGCCTACAAGTCGATTCGTTTACTTCGAAG